CAGTCCTCCTGTATGGATTCAGCTCAGGTGACCAGGTAGATAACCACCAAGTATGTGGTATAGGCTCTTACTTACAGTCCTAGACAGGCATGGGTGATTGGTGTAGGTACAGGCATCTGCATGTAGCAGAGGGACACTGAGCAAGGCAGGGGGCTGATGGCCTCCTTCAGGTGTCTGGGAGGAAGGCGTGTCCCTGTTCCCTAAAGCGTGTAGGTAGGTGGGTTTTCCAGCAAGACTATGAGCACCTTATGCTGTTGGTGTAAGGACTGGGGGGCACCACTTATTCATGGGCCCCTATCGCAGGTGACTAGGTGGCGTGGCTGGAGCCACCAGTCCTCAGGCCCCTGATGTGGGTACGTGAAGACCCTGCTTAATGGGCAGAGCAGTGTCACATGTCAAGAACCTGCCACTTCACAGCTGAAATGGTTGAAGTTAGACTTCCAGTATATACCGTGTTGTACTGCGGTAATGAGGGCCTACACTGTTGAGATGGGCCCACACAAGTCTATGCACGGGGAAAGGCACTCAAAGTCCGTGGATCCCTGATACCTGTGCCTAGGCAAAGGAGGTGTGCCTACCCTGGGTTCCTGCCTTAGGGGAGCCGGCAGTTTATTTTTAACCCTGTTTGTTAATCTGTTCACTCTCCAAGGCAGGGAGAATGGCTCCAGGCGTATGATGAATCCTACTTCCGGCCCAGGGGACTTAGCAATTGCTTAAGCTGGTCTGGGACCCAGTGCAGAGCAGGGAGCAGGAGGTAAACAGGAGAGAGGTTTTTCCCTCAGGGAGGTGTTATGGATCCAGGCGGTAGGCCAGACACAATTATTTATCTTTCATCTGTCGAGGGCTGCTTCTCATTGGTTCTGGGTCACTGTGTAGACTCTCTGGTGCTGGGTATCTCCTGGTGTGGAAAATATGCCTCCCGAGCATCGCCACTTGCCTGCCTCACTGCTCACCCCTGAGCTGATCAGGCCTGAAGGGCTCAGGCTCCTGCCAGGTCAGGTCTAGCAACTCCTCGCTGCTTCTGAACTGTCTCTCCCTCCCCCTGCCACTCAGTGCGGTTCCTCACTTCTGCCTTTGATGTTCAGGGCTCCCAGACTGCCATATATAATCGATTCACTTGTTTGTTCGGGTCCTTGTTGTAAGAGGGTCCACAGGAAGCATCTGACTACTCCGCCATCTTGGCCCTCCCTCTGAGATTTCTTGATTATGGAGGCCATTTTTATTTACCACAGCCTATACCTAGTGATTATACAGGATGAAGGGTTTGGGCTGCTGGGTAAGATATATCAGGTTTCTCAACAGGGTGTGAAATCATTCTGTTCCTGGGACTAAGCAACTACCTATTTGGGGCACTGCCTTACCTATTCAGATGTAGAATCCATCCTCAGTGTTTCAGTCTACATGGAAATCCCACTAAAATCTGCTCCTTAGAAGGAACACAGAAGATCTTAAAAAGCAGAGTCTAGATTATTCTTCCTTATGCCTCAGGGACCCATTTGTTTTCCTTTTCTTTCTTTTTTTTAATTGTGCTTTAAGTGAAAGTTTACAATTCAAGTCACTTTCTCATACAAAAATTTATACACACATTGCTATGTGATCCTAGTTGCTCTCCCTATACTGTGATAGCACACTCCTCCTTTCCACCCCAGATTTCCCGTGTCCATCAACTAGCTTCAGGTACCCATTTTAATCTCTGTATTCTATTGGGGACATTGCTCCTGTTTTTGAGAAGGAACTTCCCTAGAGTTTGGGAAAAGGAATGATGTATATGTGGCTCAGTCCCTTTCCACTTTGGTATATGCCTCCTGCAAAAACAGTGCATCTGTTCCGTTCTCTCTGCAAGATAAGCCTGCAGCATTAGGAACTAAAGCACTTGGGAAAGAGAGGTACCTAGGAAGCTTATGTTCTCACAAACAAAACCTATATTCGACACTCGGGCTTTTATTAGAATGAAGCTGAAATTTTGATCTCTGCTGATGGGACTCCTATGTCCATCACTCAGTACAAAACTCAGAGAGGAAGATTCTTGAGTTATGAGGTCCTTACAAATTACTCCTGCATCAGCAAGAGTCCTCTCTTTCATGTGTTTATGGCTATAGATAACTCTGGTTTTGCCTCTCCAGTTTGCTCTCTGGTTGTGCTCTTTTAAGAATTTCTGACCCACTGATGGTACTCATTCTTCTTCTCCTGCACTATTATGATTTTATTCTTCTTTTTACGTATGTCCTGTCATTTCATGGGGATTTTGATAGAGGATAAAACAGATGCCTTATCAGTCCCCCATGCTTCACCCTCAACTAGCTACTAACATAGTGAGGACTAAAACACCTAAGTCTACTACTGACTCATGGTCTTTCCACTACTCCATGCCACCATATAAGATATAAGTCTTATATTAGAGACCTTAAAAATCTTGTTAGAGCAAAGATATAAACACTGAAGGAGAACTAACTAACAAATGTACAGAGAATAAGTACCACAAAAGTTATAGGAAGAAGTCATATCAGGCTATAGTGGAGCAAAAAGGCTTCACTGAACAGATAAGCTAGATAACTGGGATCTTCTAAAAATCAAACACCTATGTTCTTCAAAAGACTTCACCAAAAGAGT